GCCTCTTCCTTCCCGCTGGCCTCCTGCCACCCCCCAGGCAGCGCACGGTCCATGGGGCAGGCACAAGGACAAAGCCAGGGGAGCCCAGAGGAAGCCAGGGTGGGGGGATCACTGCCCCCAGCCTCCCCACCCCCCTCTGCCACACAGATCACTGGCAGAAGACAAAAAACCCTCTCTGAAGCCGACCAGCTCTTCCTACAGCTTCTGTTTGCAGTCGTCAGCCGGAGAAATATCATCAAAACAACGTATCTGCCAACACCGAGGGGGCACCTGCACCCAGAAGGCTCCCTCCGACCACAGTTTTGAGCATTTTGAGTTTCTTCCCGTTTGCCTGGAGCTGGCTGTGAGGTTCTCACAAAGGCTCCTTTTTCCTCCCCTGTTTGCTTTGGGCACTGTTTTTGCTGCTGACCTTGTCTTGCTTGTTGGGGCATCTCCAACTCACCGGCCCAAAAGTTTTTTTACCCTTTTTTTTTTTTCTTTTTTTCTTTTTTTTTTTGTTTGTTTGAAAGGCAGCCCTGATCTTCTGGTGTACAACCGGATTTACCTGGTGAAAAGCCCTCATGGCCTGGGAATGACGCTGGGAGGCAGGATGAAGGCATTCGCCATGTGAGCAGCAGAGTTGGGGCAGGAACAATCATAGAATCATGGAATGGTTAGAGTTGGAAGGGACCTTCAAGATCATCCAGTTCCAACCCCCTGCCCTGGGCAGGGACACCTCCCACCAGACCAGGTTGCTCCAAGCCCCATCCAGCCTGGCCTTGAACCCCTCCAGGGATGGGGCAGCCACAGCTTCTCTGGGCAACCTGGGCCAGTGTCTCACCACCCTCACAGCAAAGAACTTTTTCCTGATATCTAATCTAAATCTCACCTCTTTCAATTTAAAACCATTACCCCTTGTCCTGTCACTACATTCCCTGATCGAGAGTCCCTCCCCATTACTCCTGTAGGTCCCTTCAGATATTGGAAGGGGCTACAAGGTCTCCCCAGAGCCTTCTCTTCTCCAGGCTGAACAACCCCAGCTCTCTCAGCCTGTCCTCACAGCAGAGGTGCTCCATCCCTCTGACCATCTCCATGGCCTTCCGCTGGACCTGTTCCAACAGCTCCATGTCCTTCCCGTGTTGAGGACTCCAAAGCTGGACACAGGACTCCAGGTGGGGTCTCACCAGAGCAGAGCAGAGGGGCAGAATCACCTCCTGGAACCTGCTGGCCACACTTCTTTTGAGCAGACCTGGAGCACTGCACACCTGGGGACACTTCCCAGCCTTCAGACATTTGTAGCTCCCTGATTTCCTGTACAGAAGGGGTGTCTCTGTGTTTAACACACCTGGAGAATTTATCTTCCTTAGATTAAGCAAAATTATTTGCCCCCTCCCCCCGCATTGAAGGTTTGGGCATCCTCCAGCTGAGTCCTGTGTAACAAAAAGCACCAACCTGCCCCTGGCTTTTCATAGAATCATAGAATTGTCCAGGTTGGAAGGGACATTCAAGATCATCTAGTCCAACCATCAACCTCACTCTGATAAAAACCATCACTAAACCATGTCTCTAAGCACTCTGTCAACCTGTCTTTTGAACACCTCCAGGGATGGTGCCTCAACCCCTTCCCTGGGCAGCCCATTCCAAGGCTTCAGAACCCTTTCCATGTTAAAATTGTTCCTAATCTCCAATCTGAACCTCCCCTGGCACAACTTGAGGCCGTTTCCTCTTGTCCCATCACCTGTTCCTTGGGAGAAGAGACCGACCCCCCCTGGCTACACCCTCCCTCAGGTAGTTGTAAAGAGCAATAAGGTCTCCCCTCAGCCTCCTTTTCTCCAGGCTGAACACCCCCAGCTCCCTCAGCCTCTCCTCAGGAGACTTGTTCTCCAGACCCCTCACCGGCTTCATTGCCCTTCTCTGGACCCGCTCCAGCCCCTCAATGTCTTTTCTGGGGGGGTAAAAAAATGTTTAAATTTACCTGACGTCACCCTGACCCTCCCCAGGGCTCTTATTTCAGCTGAGGCCATGGGGTCCTTGGTAGGACCTTCCTCTGCTCCTGGCTTTACTGTCAACCATCCCATCCGTCCTCTCTGTGCAGAGCAGAAACATCTCCAATGCTTTCCACCCCTTTGTCACCTTCCTTCTTTCCCCCCCTCCACTCCCCATGACGGCGGGCAGGGGATCTGCTGCCACAGGTTGGACTTGGACACCCGTGTCCCACCTAAGCACGACCGAGCCTGCTGCACCCTCTGGTGGCGCCCAGGCTCTGCTTTTCCTGGGGAAAAATAAATAAATAAATACAATAAAGAAAATAATGGCTTCATCCCTCAATCCCACCAGGAGATTGGGGGGAGTTTGGCCAACACCAGCCCCTTCTCGGCAGGATCCTGAGCAAGAGGAGGACGGGGGGCAGAGGGAGCCCTGGGAGTGGGGTGGGACAAGCCCGCAGTGTGCCCGGGGGCTATATTTATCCCCAGGGCCAGCAGCTATATTTATCCCGAATGCCACAGGAGCCTAAAGTCTTCAGGGTAATTTCCGTGCTGCGGAAGAACACGATCTGCATGTCCTCTTTTTTTTGTTTGTTTTTTTTTTTTTTTACTGTAAACCTCCTTCTCTGCTCCCCTTCTCCCCGGGGCGCCCTTCGCTGCCTTCTCAGCCCTTCCCTGCTCCTCTGTACATCCCACCCTTCTCCACCATGGTGGTGCTGGGGTTGTATTCCCTCCATCCACCTCCCACAGCCCTCTCCAGGCTCCTTTTCCCCTCCCAGGGAGCTGTTTCTCTTGGCGAGGGGAAGGGACCATCCTCATCCTGAAGCCTTCGCTCATCCTGAAGGCTCAGCCACTTTGTGGGTTTCCTAAACAAGTCCCCCTGTCAAAAAAAGCCACCAAGCCAAGGGCTGTGAAACCTGAATTCTCCCGGCAAGGGCAGGAGCAGGGCACCCCACTGCTGCCAGCCCCCAGCTGTCCCCCTCCCCTGTCAAAAAAAGCCACCAAGCCAAGGGCTGTGAAACCTGAAATCTCCCAGCAAGGGCAGGAGCAGGGCGCCCCGCTGCTGCCAGCCCCCAGCTGTCCCCCCAAAACGGTGCTCTGCCCTGGGGAGGCCCCATCTGGAGCACTGGGTCCAGTTCTGGGCTCCCCAGTTGCAGAGGGACAGGGAACTGCTGGAGAGGGGACAGCAGAGGGCTACAGAGAGGGGCCTGGAGCATCCCTCTGATGAGGAGAGGCTGAGGGACTTGGGTCTTTTCAGTCTGGAGAAGAGAAGGCTGAGGGGGGATCTGACCAACGCCCATAAATACTTCAAGGGTGGGTGTCAGGAGGATGGGGCCAGTCTTCTTTCAGTGGTGCCCAGGGACAGGACGAGAGGAAATGGGCACAAACTTCAACATAAGAAGTTCCATCTAAACATGAGGAGGAACTTCTTCAGTTTGAGGGTGGTAGAGCCCTGGAAGAAGCTGCCCAGGGAGGTGGTGGAGTCTCCTTCTCTGGAGACATTCAAACCCCCCTGGACACGTTCCTGTGCAACCTGCTCTGGGTGGACCTGCTTTGGCAGGGGGCTGGACTGGATGATCTCCAGAGGTGCCTTCCAGCCCCACATCACTCCATGATTCTGTGTTTAACCAACGTTCGTAGCTGACAAAGGACAAGCCAAAGTGGGCAGGCAAAGCCTGAGGTTCGTGAACTTTCCAGAACAAAACAAAACCATACAAAACCATCTCCTTATTTGTTTGTGGTGGTGTTTTGTTCTTTTTTTTTTCAAAAGGATGAGCTCATGACATTTTAATGCTGGGGTTTGGCAGGGCTGAGTGCACATCCTCAGCATTAGCAGAGCCTCTTGTCTCCCACAGCATCCTTACCCGGCTGCAATCGATGTCCCCGCACTGGCAGGCTCAGCCCGAGCAGGTCCCCTGGTCTCTGGGCATTTTCCATCACCTTTAAAACACAACCCTTGGGTTTGTAAGATCCTTATGGTCCCCTTTTCACATGGAGGACACATGTGGGGGGATGTAAGGAAGGTTATGCTGACAAGTATCTAAAGGGTGGGTTGAAGGAGGATGGAGCCGGACTCATTTCAGTGGTTCCCAGTAACAGGACGAGGGGCAACAGGCACAAGCTGGAACATGGGAAGTTCTACTCCAATCTGAGGAGGAACATCTTTGGGGTGAGGGTGGCAGAGCCCTGGAAGAGGTTGCCCAGGGAGGGTGTGGAGGCCCCTTCTCTGGAGATCTCCAAGCCCCACCTGGATGCTCCTGAGTGATGTGCTCTGGGCAGCCCTGCTTTGGCAGGGGAGTGGGACTGGATGATCTAGATTGATCAGAGGATGGAGCCCCTCTGCTGTGAGGACAGGCTGAGAGAGCTGGAGGTGTTCAGCCTGGAGAAGAGAAGGCTCTGGGGAGACCCTGTAGCCCCTTCCAATATCTGAAGGGACCTACAGGAGTAATGGGGAGGGACTCTCAATCAGGGAATGTAGTGACAGGACAAGGGGTAATGGTTTTAAATTGAAAGAGGTGAGATTTAGATTAGATATCAGGAAAAAGTTCTTTGCTGTGAGGGTGGTGAGACACTGGAACAGGTTGCCCAGAGAAGCTGTGGCTGCCCCATCCCTGGAGGGGTTCAAGGCCAGGCTGGATGGGGCTTGGAGCAACCTGGTCTGGTGGGAGGTGTCCCTGCCCAGGGCAGGGGGGTTGGAATGAGATGATCTTTAAGGTCCCTTCCAACCCAAACCATTCCATGTTTCTATGATCTCTAGAGGTCCCTTCCAACTCCGACGCTGAAAGGGGCAAATCCTCTGTCCTTGGCAGGAATCACCGGGAGAGCCAAGGTGGGTTCAGACCTTGAGAAAGCAAAACAAAACAAAACAAAACAAAACAAAACAAAACAAAACAAAACAAAACCCAACAAAAACCCACCCCCAGCTCCTCCCTGCGGCTTTAAGGCTGCAGCAAGGCTTACCGGGCGGTGTGGGGGTGGCTCCCCCCGCCGCGGGGAGAGGCGGGGAGCGGGAGGCGGCTGCGCAGAGCCCCGCGGGCGGCAGGATGGGGTCCCGCCTGTCCCTGGACGACTCGGTGCGGGTGGTGGTGGTCGGGGGGGGTTTCGGGGGCACGGCGGCCGCCAGCCTCCTCAAATCCTGGGCCGTCCCTTTCCTGCTGGTGGACGTGAGAGACGCTTTCCATCACAACGTGGCCGCCCTCCGCGCCGCCGTGGAGAGGGGTAAGGGCTCGGTGATTTCTACAGTGTCCCCCCCCGCCTCCTTCCCCATCTCCACAGCCCCCCCCGGGACTCGGGGAGTAAGGAGGAAGGGGGTGCTGAAAGTGCCTCCTCCTTACCTCTTCCTGCCCCCCCCACCCGGGAATGGTGGAAAACTTGGGTGTTTTCCGCCTGGAAAAGAACTCCTCGACTATGGGAGGACTCACGGAGCGTGTGTCTTAAGCCAATCGCTTGCCTGTTGGGAAAAACTGAGCAAAAACTACGTGGGCGAGTCTTTTTTATTATTATTATTCTTGAGTTTAGAAGGTGACTAAGCTAAAACCTGGGTGGGGTGAATGAATGTCTCACTGGAGCTGGCACCTAAAACATCAAGCAACTCCAGCATTTACCCTGGATGGTAAAATTCTGCTGGTGAGCTGCTCAGGAGTGCCCAGGATCTCCCTTTGGAGAGTGGGCAAACCCTATTGCTCCAGTGGCTGGGGATTTGGGGGGACAATCTCACATTGGAGGCTGGGAACAGGCATCAAAAGGATGTCTGAAAAGCAGCTCAGATGACAAAAAGCCTCTGCCCGGAACGCCCTGGACCACAATAGGGCACTTACTGGCAAACCAGTCCAGGAGACTCTGTACGGGGAGCAGAGACCAAGCAGCCCAGCCTGAGGTTGTCACCTCATCTGAGGAGCTGAGCTTGTCACCACAGCTGAGGCAAAGGTCCTGCAGCTCATTGCTGGGCACAAATAACACACAGCAGAGGCCCAGCCTGTGGTCCCAGGTGCACACAACGCTTTCATCCCAACAAGGATGGCACGAGGGAGAAGGGATGAAGGGTTTCTCAGCCTCTGCAGGGGGAGATCTCTTCCCTCTTCCCTCCTCTTCCCACAGGGTTTGCCAAGAAGACTTTCATCTCCTACTCTGTCACCTTTGGGGACAGCTTCCGGCAAGGCAAGGTCGTTGGCATAGACCCTGGGAGGCAGCAAGTCTTGCTGAGTGATGGTGAGGTGGGTGAAGCAACAGCTAATGGGATCACCCGCTAACGGGGAGAGCCAGCCTTGGGCAGGGGGTGTTGGGAATCCCTCCTCCTCAAGGCTTTTCTTCTGCCACCTCTTGCCTGCAAGAAGGCAGTCCTCCAAACCTCAGCCCTGTTGGCTTTGGCTGGTGATGTCTGGTTAGAGAAACTGGTGTCTGTGCTTGGAGTCTTCTTTTGGGGAAAAGAGATGAGCAGGACCACAGAGGAGCACCTACAGAAGACGTGCACCTGAGCAGGATGAGGAGTTTAACTCCCATCTGCCAGAGCAGGGGGGTTTGCACGTGCAGGATAGAATCATGCTCTGGGAAAAACAAACTGGACTTTAGCCCTCAAACTGGAGGAGAGCTGGGAATGGTGTTCAGTTGTGGCAAACACCCCCACGTCTCCTCCAACGCAGGTCAGCTGAGCACACGAACCCCGACCCGGGGTTCAAGAGTTCACAGGCACACCAGGGTTGGTGTCACCTGGTGCCACAACCCAAGTCCTCTGGGAAGGCAGGGATTGCTTTCCTCTAGGTTTCTGCCACCTGGGGAACACAGGTGGGCAGACACACAAATGCTCACGCTCAATATTGACCCTGTAACTCTAGGAGGTAAGGGAGGAATGGAACCAACTTCTTCTACAGAGGGCCACCCCAGAGAGAAGCAGCCCCCCAACCATCTCCTCTAAAACCAAGAGGCAATGTGGGGAGCATTTAATCATCCCAAAGAGCTTGGTAGCTCTTTCCGTGGATGAACTGAATGGCACCATCTCCTGAAGCCAAGCTAAGTGGCCTGGAGCTGTGCTGGGATGTGGGTGTGCAGTAAACACCACACCCCATCTAGTGCTCAGATGAGCTTTTATTCTTAGAGCTGGATTTAGAGCTCAACAATTAACCCTTGAGCTCAGATCCTTATCTAACTGCAGGAAAAAGCAAGGGCAGCAGCTCTGATAACTTCTTAGCCAGAGCATCTGATCAGAAGGTGAAGGAGAGTAAGTCTCTGGAGCCAGCTGTGATGGTGGCTTCAGAATTTGGCATAAATACCAGGTTATTTCCTGTGAGCTTATGGTAGCTTTTTCACAGCATTCAGCTCACCTCAAAAATGGTGCTGAGAAAGGCAGTTAGGTGGTGTCACCTGGACCAGGTCTCTTCCTAAGCCACTTTCTGACAGGGGCAAGTAGGTTCCTAGTTGTCATCAGGGGCTGGAGGAGGGGGAAGGAGTGATTAGTACCCAGGAGGCAACAACTGTATTCAAGGCTCTGTTTTTAAGAGGTCTGACATCTTCTTCCACCTTCTGCCCTCCTAGGAGCTTTACTACTCCCACCTCATTCTTGCGACAGGCAGCGATGGGCCATTCCCTGGGAAGTTCAACAAAGTCATTGACATGGAAAGTGCCATCCAGACCTATGAAGACATGGTTGAAGAGGTGAGGAATCAACTGATCTACAAAAGGTGTCCTGACTTTGTTCAGCTTCCCTGTCCCAGACACCACTGGGGGTATCTGGAGCCATCTGTGTCTAAGAACAAGAGACCACCATGCCTGCAGGGACAGGCCAGGACAAGGAACACCAGTGGTCCTGTATGCCCCAGAGGCAGACCAGCTGTCCACCTTAAATGCTCAACAGTGTTAAGTGTACACAGGAAAAGGGCACAGGGCTCTCATTTTTTGCTTCCTCTTAATGAAGTAGGCAGTTAATTGCTGTTGGGCCAGTGCTGTATCTCAGAAAGGTCTGTTCAGAGAGTGGCTGAAGGTATCTATCTTGACTTCCCACACCTAACAGTTCTCTTGTAACACGAGTTTCTTCTTTACGTCAAGATTGAGAAGTGTGAGCGAATCCTGGTCGTGGGAGGTGGTGCTGCTGGAGTGGAGATGGCTGCAGAGATCAAAACAGAGTACCCAGCCAAAGAGGTAGGAGCACATTGGTTACAATTAACTTCACCCTTGTTTCTGAGACTTCCTCTGTGATGGTCCTGCTGGAAGTCCTAGAACACTGCAAATGAGGAGTTCCCATGCAATGGGCAGCCTTGGCCCCTACTGTCTCCTCTTCTGAGAGCACCCCATAGCCTGTCACCAGCAATCACTGGCACTAGCTACATTTCACTGCCTTGCTCTCCTGGGGCATTGAGCAGGCTGGAAGGAAGCTAGCTATGGCTGCTCCCACCTGGCACCTGGCGAGTCCTGTCCCATACCTGTGTCCCCCCCCCCCCCACCTCCTTTTTTGTCCCCCACAGGGCA